CCCCGCCCTCCCCGGAGGGGACTCTGACACTCATGCCTGGCCTCAGGGTGCCTCGCCCTGCCAGGCTGCCCTTGGCGCACTCAGAGCTGGGGCTGAGGCCGGAGGAGGGCACCAGGGGGGTAGGCCGGAGGCATCCCCTCCAACTCAGGTCACAGCAGGGGGCGGGTGTGTGGCTCAGAGAAGCCTCCCTTGGCACGGCCCCCTCTTCCGGAGCCAGAGGGACCTTTTTTCTGCAGGCAGCTGCCTTGTTCCTGCCGGGCTCAGCTCTGTCCACCCCACCCCCCCTCCGCCTTCAATAAATGTCTTTTCAACAGAGCGTTCTCTTCCCTGCGTAGCCTCTCTCCCCGCAAGACAGCGGGGGCCCCCAAGCATGACCCAGAAAGAGCTCTCTGCCCATGGGCCGCAGCCTGCCTCCCCTCCCCACGACGCCCCTGCAGTCTGCAGTCTGGGGGGGGGGCACCGCTACAGGATCCTTGTGGTCCCACTGCCCGGGGGCCCCTGCCACCTCTCGTCCTGGCTCCCAAAGGAACTCTGTGGCAGGGCTTCTGAGACTCAGGCGGCAAGGGAAGGAGGCCAGGCAGAGGAGGGAGGAGCATTTCCAACGCCAGCCCTCTCCTGCAAGCGCTGCTGAGCAGCCACAAGGCCCCAGACATGGACAGCGGGGGTCGGGTGGGGGCTGGGGCGGCATGAAGCACACGCAGAGCCCCCCCCCCAGCAATGGCATCCTGCCCCCCAAGCAGCTTTTCAGGGCCTCTGGGGGGGGAGGCCTCTAAGCTGCTGCTGCTGCTCCCGACCCTCAGGCACGGGACACCCCCCCCCCCGTCTTCAGCAACACAGAGGCGGATAGTTAAAAACAAAACAGAACACATTTATAGACAAATATTTCCAAAGCCATTCCCAGCAGCAGCTGCACAAGCTAAAATCCCAAACGAGGGGCTCCGGGCAGAGGGCCGCCAGGTTTGGGCTGGGGGATTCCTGCAGGCAGACAGGCGGGGAGGGGAGGAGTCCGGGGAGCTCGGCAGGGGCGCAGCAAATGCCACAGAAGCTGCCAGTCCTTCGTCCTCAGGGACGACACACCGTTCCCTGCAGTCGGGAGAGGAGACGCCCTTCCTGGAGGACTCCAGTCCCCGCCCGGAGGCTGGCAGAGCAAGGCCGCACCCCCACTCCACACGGGGCGTGCCCCAAAGCCTGCCCCGCCGGGCTGGGCACCTCCTACGCAGAGCGGGGGGGGGGGGGCAAGAGCACAGCACTCGCGGCCGGGTGCCACACGGCGGGTGGGCTCCCTGGCTCAGACAGGGTGGCAGCCGGGCCCTCAGATCTCCCCCAGGTCTTCGTAGACGGAGGCTGGCCGACTCTGGTCCACTGACTGCTCTCGCCCCACGGGGTCAGGACCGGCAGTCGAGGTCTTCAGCACCCGGCTGTAGATTGGCTCCCCCTCCTCCTCCTCCTCCTCCTCCTCCCGGTGGTGGTGGTGGTTGTTGTTGTTGTTGTTGGAGCCATTCTTCTGTGGGGCCCAGTCGAGCACCGGAGGGGGCTTCCTGTGCGTGCGCGGGGGCTTGGGGGCTGGGGAAGGCTTGGAGGGCTTGAGCCCCAGGTTCTGGTGGAAGGCGGGAACGGCGTAGTCCCCGGCCCCAGGCCGGTAAGGGAGTTCGTAGCCTGCCCGGTGCTCCAGGCCCTGAGTCCGCCAGGCCTCGCAAGGGAGGTGGGCCTCGTCGTAGATGGGGGCGGGGGCTGGCCTGGGGGCCCGTCCCTCCGGCTCGTCGTAGATGTGCCCTCCGGCTCCCCGCTGGCCCTGGCAGCCGCCGGCCGCTGGCCCCACTCGCTCATAGAGGGAGCCGGTCCGTCCCAGCTCAGCCGCCTCCTGCTGCTGCCCCCCACCTTGGCCCCTGCTGTCGAGGGGGTCCGCGTAGAGGGGGTCCGGCCCGTGCCGGGGGGCCCGGACGGCATCCAGGGGCTCTGAGTAGACGTTGCCAGAGTCCTCCTCGGAGGGCGGGGGGGCCCCCGCCAGCCCCGAGAGGGGGGACCGTGGCGGGGGGCTGGGCCACTGGCAGCCCCGAGAGGGGGGACCGTGGCGGGGTGCTGGGCCACTGCGGGGGCAGAGGGTCTTGCGTGGCCCCTTCCTTCTCCTCCCCCCCCTCCGTGGCCCAGCTGAGGGTGGCCCCCAGGGCGCTCCTGGGCCCCCGCCTTTCAGGAGGACCCCCCTCGCCCTCCAGGCGGAGCGTGCTGGCGATGGCGCTCTGGAGGGGGGCCAGGCCGGAGGTCTCGGAGTCCAGGGAGCCGCCGCTCTGCCGGTTCTCCTCCGCCTGGGCCTTCTGCTCATGGATGGCCGCCTCCACCACACAGAAGATCTCGTTCCCTTGCTTGGTCTCAAAGGTGAAGTTGCCGGGGCCAGACTCGCAGCGCCGGCCGGCCTCGAAGGAGAACATCACCTGCGGGACAGAAGCAGGACCCCGGTCGCTCGCAGGCCCAGCGGCTGGAGACACGGCACCACCGGCAGGAGCCACAGGGAGGGACCTCTGCCCCCGCCCCTTCTCCTGGGGGGCAGGACCCGCCCCTTTGCTCCGATTGACTCTTCCGGGACTGGGCTGTGGTGAGGTCCAGTGTATGGCCACTTCAAGCAAATTCTTTGCCCCCTCCCGCTAAATAAGTGTGGGCAGGCTCTTGCCCCCGCCCCCTCCCTTGCCTGACGCCGCCACGCACCTTGTCCCGGCCGTATCTGCGGAGGAGCCGGTAGGGCCAAGCGTAGAGCGGCTGGCGCGAGTGCGGGTCTTGGAGGACAAGGCCGTCCCGGGAGGCCTTCAGCACGTACGCCCCGTGGAGCCTGCAGCGCTCGGCCGCCTCCGTCTTCTGCACTGTCACCCAGAACTCGCTGGCTGTGGCAAGC